GGACTTAGACACCTTATCCAACACTTTAGCCATATAGCCTCCTTTGTCGCTTCGCTCGCTGCAATATACTCTGATTCACAAGGTGAATTAGCCACTGTATCTTGTTTGGAACTCTTCCAAGAAATTGCTCCTCCGTTTAGGGTAAAGACCCAGCCCGACTGAGAGCGGAAATTATCCCTATCAGTCTGGAAGCTAGCATCACTATACCCTACAACTCTCAAGTCATCACTCCCACCGAGGGTAAGGACCCAGTCCTTAGTCCTTCATAGGTATTTGAGGATATTCTTTATCGCAGTCGAGTGTGCCTTGCCAGGGTTCCCCTGATACCTGCTAACCATGCTCAGGGCAAAGGCTACATCAAGTCGAGTACACATCATAGCATACATGATCGATCCTACAGGTGATGCATAAGGTATTCGACTCATTTCTGCTACCTCAGCCTCAGTGCTAGGGCTTTGTGTCTTACTCAATCTAGCGTTACTCTGGATGGGTAACTCTCCTTTCTTGGAGTCCTGCATGTTGAATCTCTTCAGCACCTTATCCAAGTAAGTACTCTGACTAAGTCCGATTAGTCTTTTACTTCGATCTCTCATGATCCTTATCCCTAGAATATAGGCAGCTTCACCAAGGTCCTTCATAGCGAAACATTTCCCAAGCCAGGACTTTACTTCCTGCAGGGTTGGGATGTCGTTTCCTATGAGTAGTATGTCATCCACATACAATACCAAAAAGCTAACTATACTCCCACTAGCCTTGACATACACACAAGATTCATCTTCACTCCTAGAAAAGCCAAATCCGTTGACCTTTTCATCAAAGCAAAGATTCCATCTGTGAGGTGCTTGCTTCAATCCATAAATGGATTTCTCAAGCTTACACACTCTATTAGGGTACTCGTTGCTGACAAAACCTTCTGGCTGACTCATGTAAACATCTTCAGCCAACTTTCCATTAAGGAAAGCGGTTTTGACATCCATTTGCCATATTTCATAGTCATGAAATGCAGCTATGGCTAACATAACCCTAATAGACTTAATCTTGCCTACTGGAGAAAAGGTCTCATCATAGTCCACTCTAGGAATTTGAGAGAAGCCCTTTGCAACCAGTCAAGCCTTATAAGTGTGTACTTTACCATCTATGTCGGTCTTCTTCTTGAAGATCCATTTGCACCCTACAGTCTTACGACCTGGTACATTCTCAACCAAGTTCCAAACTTGATTGTCATACATGGATTGTATCTCGCTATCCATAGCCTCTTTCCATTTAGCAGAATCGGAGCCTGTCATGGCTTCCTCGTAGCTGTTAGGATCATCCAGACCTACTAGTGTCCCATCACTAATAAGTGTCTCACCTTCTGCAGTAATTTGGAAACCATAGTAATGCTCAGGTGCACTCCTAACTCTCGTGGAACGCCTCAGAGGTACATATTCATCAATTGGCTCAACAGGAGTTTCCTCCTCAAGTTGAGGGCTAGTGTTTGAAGTTCCTTCACCACTTGACTCTTGAATTTCTTCAAGATCAATTCGCTTCCCACTATCTCCTTGGCTTATAAACTCTCTTTCTCGAAAGACTCCTCTTCTTGCTACAAAGACCACATTATCACTAGGTCTGTAGAAGATGTAACCAAAGGATTGTTGTGGGTAGCCGATGAAAATACACCTCTCGCTTCGAGGTTCGAGATTATCATGAGTCTCGCATCTCACGAAAGCCTCGCAACCCCAAATCTTGATGTGGTCTAGTTTGGGTACTTTACCAGTCCACATCTCGTGAGGAGTTTTGGCAACTTTCTTTGTAGGGGCTAGATTAAGGATATGGGCGGCAGTCTCTAAGGCATACCCCCAGAATGAGATTGGTAGTGAAGCTCGACTCATCATGGAACGAACCATGTCTAATAAGTTTCGATTACGCCTCTCAACCACACCATTCAAAAATACAGAATATCAGAATATCAAAAATACAGAATGAGATTGGTAGCGAAGCTCAACTTTTTTTTTTTTTTCAGAATATCAAAAATACAAAATATTTTCTATTTTATCTCTTCTTGTCAAATAATCATAAACACCAAAAATATTAAATTATTGAGCAGGACGGAGGATTCATATCATGTTTATCTCAATTATGAATGATGGGGCAGGAATAAATTCAGAAACTTTACACTAGTTAAGTGTCCCTAGAAGCATGTTGTTGCATGTTGTCCGAAGCCTCAATGACTCTATGTTGAAGCTTTAATGCTTCGATAACACCAATCGTTTCTTCCTAATTAGGTTGGTCTTTCGCATAAGTCTCGAGCTACCTTACTCTTCTCATTATGAGCTAAGAGTTCACTGCTTGGTCACTTTCGCATAGCAGAAGTACACTATTTTCTTTGGAACCACCTCTTACTCTTCCCCATCACTTTCACATTCTACAATGTAAATCATGAGACTCTCAAATATTACCAATGAGGTTTATGGTTACACAACTTCTGTATTGATGATCTTCAATTCGTTATCACCATGAATTGAGTGAAACCCAAAATCCAACACACTTTCATGAATTGACAGTGAACAACTAATTGTTATAGATTTTTCACCAACGAATTAACGGAAGTCCACTTTCGTGGTCTATACCAAGTAATCTCTTTTTCTTTTGCGAGATCTTCATGAAATGTTCTAGACCTAAGAGGTTTCTACCCAATAGATCCAATTTTTATTTTTCTTAAAATTTCTATGCGGATCTTTGTCACTTCAAAATAATTCCAAAGCATACTTGTTCAATTGACTACACTGGTCAAACTAGTACTTCATCTGAACATTCAGACTTATATCAAGTTTCAGAGCTTGGTTGGAGGTGAAGCCACCCTACAAGCTTTATAAAAGATACCATTCACTGTTTCTTATTAAACAGTTGGTCGTAGTTCAACGAGAAACCACAGACACTTCTTAGTCTCTCTTGAATTTGAAGGAAGAGATCTTTACCCGGGATCCACTACTTTGTGTCTTTACAAGACATCATTAATATCCCACAACACTTTGATTTATTTCTTTATCTTTGGCACACTCTCTCATGAATATCCTTGTGATTTTATAAAGTGTGGTTCGTGGCACTCACGATTAGTTTCGGTTTCGTTGATCAATTGATAACGTTTCACTGTGAAGATCCGTACATACATTGGATGTGAAGAAGGCTTATCATGATTAACTGCAACAAAAGGGAACTGAATCAATTGTGAAAGGGTGAAGTTGATGTCAAAATTTTCTCATGGATATGAATTCAAATGGGCACGTGAAATTTGAAACGACGCCTGCTTTTCCGCCGCCTGACACTCGTGCCTAACGTAACAATTGTCAATCATGCCTTTTTAGGTGCCTTTTCAGTAACTGATGCAACTAATCGGCTGATTTCTCTCACCTACTACTCTGTATAAAAGGATTTTGATGCTTCATTTCTTAATTACTACTCTAAAAAAGAAAACAAATCCTTTGGCAATTATATACAACTGTTAATCATCTTCTTCATCAAGCTTCAATGGCAACTTAATTAGAGACACCCTCAATCGCATAAAACTTGGCTAGGGATGACAATGGGTATGGTTATACCGGGTTTCGTTTTCCCCATCCTCATACCCAAATCCCCATACCCATCCCCATACCTAACCCCATCCCCATCGGGGATTCGAAATCTATCCCCATCCCCATCCGCAATGGGTATTGGGGATCCGCAATGGGTAATCGGGGATTTTCCCCATTACAAAGTTATGAACTTTTATGAAAAATAACTCATAATTATATATTAACCAACAAAACAAAAACTAATAGAACTAATATAAAACACTATAATCACTGAAAGTCTTCAAACACGAAAAATAACATTCAAGGTTACAAATTAAATCATTCTTTGCAAAAAAAGACATAAAAATTCTTCCCAAAACTATACGTTTGATTGTTAGAAAACCTTATTTTTTCTACTGAACATTGGCTTATGCATTATTAAAATTAAAAACATAATTAATACTATATATATATATATATATATATATATATATATATATATATATATATATATATATATATATATATATATATATATATGGGGTACCCATCGGGACCGGTTTCGGGTACGAGTATGGGTACCCGACAGGTAGAACCATCCCCATTCCCATCCCCACTTTTTATATTCGGGTAATACCCATCCCCAGTCAACTCGGGTTGGGGTTTCGGGTACCCGTTGGGTACGGGTTTTTTTTGCCATCTCTAAACTTGGCCCAGTCGTCACTTCTCACTCTGAAAGCAAATCAAAACATGATTCTTGATCTTGATCCGACGAAATATGAATGGTTTCTCCAACCAATCGTTGAGTGCCTCGGGTATTCCCCTCTAGTCATAACTTTTATCAAGTCTGAGAGTGTTCTTCTGGTGCATCTTTCAAGAGCCTTCTCCACTACTAGCTATCAAAAAAGGGAAGAGTTAGTCACTTTTGAAATCCAAAACCATCAAACCCACATCACAAAATCAAGATTATGTCAACTCCTTCGACTTCCTCAGGGTCGTGACCAAGTTGATCCTGAAAGCGTCTCAAATTTAGTGATTCTAGAGATGTTCTTCCATATGGGTTATAAGGAATCGATCAATGTTGTTTCCAAATTTAAAAAGTCCAACCTACCACCATTGTGGAATGGCTTATTTACACTGCTCTTCAAGAGCTTCTCTAAACGGGTTACAAGCTCGGATTATGCGAGAAAGCTCGTCATGAACCTGATGTACAAAGACTTTTCCGACATCAACTTAGACTATGGGTCTGTTCTTTGGGCATAAATTATGCAAAGCATACTCTCAACCACTCAACACAGTGAAATATCCTATGCTCGCTTTTGGTCCGTAGTCGTTTAAAGGGAGATCAACAAGTTTGACATCCCCTATCTGGAAGGTTCAGCCCTAGCTTCTATCCAAATATTTCACAGAACCAACATCATTCTTGCTGACAACTCAAAGTTTAACTTTATTGTGTCTATTCTTGAAGCAATGCTTCATGATATTTCGGCATCAAGTGAGATTCTGCAAGCTTATCGTAGTTTTCCCCTCTCAGGCTTTCACCCCTTGACAGTTGATATGCGAAAGGTTCTTGAAGAGGCAGATAAACCCAAGAAGGGAGGGAAGAATAAAGGCACAAAGGTTGGTACGTCTGAACTAGCTCCATCTCCAAAGAAGAGTGAGAAACGAAAGTCTCAGGGTAAACCGTCAGTGCCAGCTAAAGATCTTAAGAAGTAGAAAGTCAACAAAATGGCATGTCAACCATGAACTCCGAGCGCTCATGAGGATTCGCAATCTCAGACGGTTTTGGAGGTTCCTAATCAAACCGAGGTTCGCAACGAAGAAGATGTTTCTTTTCAACCGAAGGTTTCGGAAATGGCCACTACGATTCCTGAGGTATCTACTACAATCCCAACTTTAGTTCCCATTCATGAAGATTTTTTCCAAAGTTCTTTTGTCCCTTCTCCAACTGATACTACTTCAACTCCTATTACCATAGCCTCATGCCCACCTGTTTCATTGGGTGTCTCACAAGTCTAAACTCTTTTATTTACTGAATCAATTGCCACCACCACCACCTCCAATGTTGATCCTCGTGTAACTCTCAGCGCATCTGATGCGGGGGCAAGTGCTTCGGGATTTACAGTTGGTCATACTACTCCACCCATCTCTCATTTCCGCAAAGATGATCCAGACACTATATTTGGTGGTGATAACGACGACTTTGCATGATTCACTTACATTCTTTTTAATATTTAGACTGAAAGGGATGACGAAGCTCCAGTCACATAAGGGCAACTCAAGGTGATAAATGATAAACTCGATTCATTTTTTTCAATCTTCCAAGGCTCCCTCTACTGAAGATTATTCACAAGCGACAATCAAATGGTTCCTTGAGACCTTTATGAAAGAGCATTCTGCCAACCTTGAGAAGACAAACAAGGCGGAAGATACATCTGCTTCTGTATGCAACAAAATGACCGAAAAGTCAATAAACTAATTACAGATGCTCTTTCATTCGTGGATAAATTCCAGACCTCCTTTGAGTCCAACACTGCGAAGGCTAATGAGGTTATTTCCAGTATGGACTCAACTCTCAAAACCAAGAAAGCGAAACTTGAAGCAGTCAACATTGGTCTTCAATTTGATCATGTTGAGTTCATGTAACGCCCGTAGATCCGGGCTAGTCAAATTAGAGACGATAAGCATCAAAAATGACTTTTTATGGAAGATTATTTAGAAGGATTAATCTTAACCAAGTTTTAGTATATGTCACAAGGTTTCCGTGCATATAAAGAAAGCCGAAATCCGAGTTATAACGAAGAAGTTATGACTTGTCGAAGTTTCGCGACAGAACCGGCACGACAAAACGCGACGTAAATAGTGAATTTACGTTAGAGTGATATTTATCCAAAACAATATAAATGAGAATTGAAGATCTCATCGATAGTAGTGCAACGATGGAAAGACGGATGAAAACGGACATCACACGAAGGAGTTATGAGTTTATAACGTAGTTTTCTTGTCCCGGTGTTTATACATTGTTTGTTTACTTGAGATAAATGTTGAAATAATGTGTTATACATGTTTCAAAAGATTTAAACTGTATATGTGTTTGCATCTACAAATATGTTGGGTAGAACATGGGTAGATGAAATAGTTGATGTGAGACGAAATAATAAGTATTTTTGAACTCTATGTGTTCACTTGGTGTTTGGACTCAATGTGTTCATTTGGTATTTTAGAACTCTATGTGTTCACTTGGTGTTTGGACTCAATGTTTTCATTAGGTATTTTAGAACTCTATGTGTTCACTTGGTGTTTGGAATCAATGTGTTCATTAGGTATTTTAGAACTCTATGTGTTCACTTGGTATTTTTGGACTCAATGTGTTCATTAGGTATTTTAGAACTCTATGTGTTCACTTGGTATTGTTGAACTGAGTGTGCTCACTAAGTGTTTTAGAACTAAGTATTCACCAGATGTTTTTAATTAATTGTTCACTAGGAGTATTAGAACTAGGTGTTTGTTAAGTATGTTGAACTAAGTGTTTACCAGTCGTAATTTGTGGACCTTGGCAGTGGTGGACTTTGTGTCAATTCCTTAGGTCAATCCTTAGGAATAAATGGATAGAGGATAGTTGATTCTTAGGGTAAATCCTTAACAAATAAAGGAGATAATGGGAATGAGTATTAGGGTTGATTGTTTGATAATTGAATATAATAAATGTATTATTGTGGGATGAAAACCCTATATGCTCACCAGGCTCCCAAGCCTGACCCACTCAGTTTTCTTTGCATTACAGGTAATGGCACAAGAGTATAAATTGGTGGACTTGATGAGAGATTTTGGATTATAGATCAGTAGTTACAAATAACTGTTGTAAGGTCTATTTTATATTGTTTATACTTTTGGTCTGTATCAAACATGACATCCCGAGGTTTTATTATTTAATAAAAATACATTCTCTTTGAGAAACGTTTTGATAAATTTTATCATATTTTGTTTTGGGAACAAATTCCGCAACTCTTTTAATCAAAAGGATTTACTCTGATTTTATAAAACAAAGCATAAACAAATCGGTCTTTTCTGGCCGTGAAATTGGGGATGTCACAGTTGGTATCAGAGCATTAGTTTAAGCGAACTAGGAATTTGTACGATTTCTAGACTTAAACTTAGAATGCTAAGCGATGATTGTGAGATGAGTGTCTACCATATTTTAGGCACGAGCACTAGTATATTTTCGGAAAGCTGTCTAAAATGCTTTTACGTTATAAATGCTATATGTTTGCTATATATGAAACTGTTTGTTCGGATCTATGGTCTACTGCCGACCGGATCTGGAAACCTTATGTGTTTAGGATTCTAAGCGTACGACTACGTTATTAGAACTAGCATGTAAACGTTTCGGAGTGATAAGGAGATTTATACGTCTATCGTAAATAAAGCTTTCTTATCTTAAATTCTCGCCCGGTGCACCGAACGTCTGCTTGGATGTACAAAATGTTATGGTGAAGACTCGTAGAGAATTGATTAAATGTAGGAAATAAAAGGCTTATGATAGTGAATGACACCTATCGGAAGATATCGTAAGAGTGGTGTCTTGCCTTCAGTATTTGTCTGGTAAAATAACGAAACGTTTAGAGGGGTACGATACGTTTGAAGTACACCTTCGATTGGCAGGATGATGGAACGATTGGCGAAATTCTTGAAGTTGTCTCATCGTCTGGTATTTCCATCACCAATCGAGTTGAAGTAGAGTTGATTATTGAAGATACGCATGGAAGAAGTCCTAGTAGAGTCTAGGAGACTTTTTATGATTAACTGGACACATTAGTATGTGTTAAATTGTTTGGTGATTTTAGGACTTGGGGACTGCCAGACAATACTTTGGACGAGTATGAGTAGGTGTGAATAGTAGCAGAGATCTATACTACTGGAAGCACAGGACTCACGCTTGGATCAGGGAAAGTCACAAGGTTACCAAGAAGCTTGTACTTGAGTTCTTTTTTATTCAAGTATGTCATTACCGTTGTTTCGGTAATGACTAGTAAGATGGTTCTTGTTCCGAACCTAGTGGTCATATTTAAATTTGAGTTCGACTACGAGGAGTATGTTACGTGGTTTAGAGGACCAAGTTAGATGTAACATCTGACTTAAGTCAGAAGGTTGAAGTTAATGCGATTGACAGTGTCACGCTTGTTGTTAAAAGAAGTTTGCAGCTAGAAATGCTACATGCTAAAATGTGATTATATCACATTAGAATATGAAGGAAGGTATCAACCATTCTGGAATTTGACTCCAGTAGACTTGAGTCTAAGCGTTGCATCATAGGATGATAGGTCATTAGAACATGAACCATCGGTCTGTTACAATAGATAAAGGAAAGTACTTATCCTAAGAAGAAGAAGGAGTCACAATAAGGATTTATTTTGTAACTCGAAGGTTACAATTGAAAGTACAACATAGTACGAAGAGCAGATGCAAGATTGAGCACTACCTGCTATCGAGAAGTCCAAGAGTTAGATACACTTTCGAGGAAATATAGAACTTACAGTTATTACTTAGGATGGAGAGATAAAGTATGGAGTCAGTATACGAATCTTGTTTCGTTGATGATTCCGGGACGTAATCATCCTAAGGGGGAGATAATTCTAACGTTCGTAGATCCGGGCTAGTCAAATTAGAGACGATAAGCATCAAAAATGACTTTTGATGGAAGATTATTTAGAAGGTTTAATCTTAACCAAGTTGTAGTATATGTCACAAGGTTTCCGTGCATATAAAGAACGCCGAAATCTGAGTTATAACGAAGAAGTTATGACCTGTCGAAGTTTCGCGACGGAACCGGCACGACACAACGCGACGTAAATAGTGAATTTACATTAGAGTGATATTTATCCAAAACAATATAAATGATATTTCAAGATCTCATCGATAGTAGTGCAATGATGGAAAGACGGACGAAAACGGACGTCAGACGAAGGAGTTATGAGTTTATAACGTAGTTTTCTTGTCCCGGCCTACTAAAAATAATATATAAGTAATATAATTATAATATATTAAAAATAAATTCAAAATTAGCCAATGGATTCTAAACGAGAGTTGTAGAGCATAATCTCACATTCGCGTCGATATAAAGAACGTAGAAAACGGAGTTCGTATGCGAAAGTTATGAATTTCTGAAGTTCGGGGCGCGAAACCCCAAAACTGTCAAAGACCACGATGTGGCAAGTAGTGCCACGATGTGGCAAGCCTTCTGACACCTCCGAGAGTCCCCCAGATGCAACTTGAGATGACGCATGCAGTGACAACCAAGCCCACGATGTGGCAAAAGATTGCGTGACGTGGAAAGGGCCAGTTTTTCCCTATAACTAGGTTTGAAGGGCCAGCCGAGTTTGGTTGCTCATTCTCTCATCTCTCTCCCATATTACATTGTTTTACGTGCAATTTTAACCCCCCGAAGCCCCGATATCAACCCCGAGACCCGAAGCAAGTCCTGAAGCCCTAAGATCCTGAGAAGAAAAGAGTTTCGAGTCGAAGCTCTATCCGTGAGAAACCCAGTGTGTGAAGATATCCCGGTTTCACCGAAGAATACTACTCTTAGAGTTGTAGTGTTGTCTGAGAATCGTCTAACGAAGTGAGTGTGTGGTTACTTTCTTCTAACGCATAAATACGAAGTATTTTATACGAAATACGTGTTATGTGTATATTTTGTTGTTATATGCGTGAATGTATATTCACTTTCTTCTACCGCATAGATATGAAGTATTTGCTATGAAGTATGTGCTAGGTGCTTATATATTGTTTGTTTACTTGAGATAAATGTTGAAATAATGTGTTATACATGTTTTTATAAGATTTAAATTGTATATGTGTTTGCATCTACAAATATGTTGGGTAGAACATGGGTAGATGAAATAGTTGATGTGAGACGCAATAATAAGTATTTTTGAACTCTATGTGTTCACTTGGTGTTTGGACTCAATGTGTTCATTTGGTATTTTAGAACTCTATGTGTTCACTTGGTGTTTGGACTCAATGTTTTCATTAGGTATTTTAGAACTCTATGTGTTCACTTGGTGTTTGGAATCAATGTGTTCATTAGGTATTTTAGAACTCTATGTGTTCACTTGGTATTTTTGGTCTCAATGTGTTCATTAGGTATTTTAGAACTCTATGTGTTCACTTGGTATTATTGAACTGAGCGTGCTCACTAAGTGTTTTAGAACTAAGTATTCACCAGATTTTTTTAATTAATTGTTCACTAGGAGTATTAGAACTAGTTGTTTGTTAAGTATGTTGAACTAAGTGTTTACCAGTCGTAATTTGTGGACCTTGGCAGTGGTGGACTTTTTGTCAATTCCTTAGGTCAATCCTTAGGAATAAATGGATAGAGGATAGTTGATTCTTAGGGTAAATCCTTAACAAATAAAGGAGATAATGGGAATGAGTATTAGGGTTGATTGTTTGATAATTGAATATAATAAATGTATTATTGTGGGATGAAAACCCTATATGCTCACCAGGCTCCCAAGCTTGACCCACTCAGTTTTCTTTGCATTACAGGTAATGGCACAAGAGTATAAATTGGTGGACTTGATGAGAGATTTTGGATTATAGATCAGTAGTTACAAATAACTGTTGTAAGGTCTATTTTATATTGTTTATGCTTTTGGTCTGTATCGAACATGACATCCCGAGGTTTTATTATTTAATAAAAATACATTCTCTTTGAGAAACGTTTTGATAAATTTTATCATATTTTGTTTTGGGAACAAATTCCACAACTCTTTTAATCAAAAGGATTTACTCTGATTTTATAAAACAAAGCATAAACAAATCGGTCTTTTCTGGCCGTGAAATTGGGGATGTCACAGTTCAGTTCCTCTATCTCTTCAAAGATCACAAAGCTTCAGGATGACTTAGCCATGGAGAGAAAAATCATGGATGCACTTGCTGTAAAGACTATGAAGGTCAAAGTCTTGACAGTCAAGTTAGAAAATTCTGAAAAACGAGTCAATGATCTATTATCTAAGAGACCAGCTATGATAAGTTGTATCACAGATGTCAATGGGTTGCTTTCAGATATTACTGAGACTCGTGACTCCATGATCATAATAACGATCTGTAAGCATCTTTCAAAAACACTCAGGCCTATCTTTTCTATGCTCAATCTCCTGGAGAGTGTTCCGGAATTTGGCTCAATTCTGAAACAAGGGGAGAAGAAAGGAAACAATCTAAAAAGGAAAACCCTAAGCGTTCTGAAAAATCCACTATCAAGCTCAAAAGTGAAACCAAACTAAAAGGAAAAGAAAATATTTTCAGGGACGAACCAGTTATTGATAACAACTAAGATGAAGATCCTGATGAAAATGAGCTGAAAGAAGAAAGGAGCGTAAAGCTCAGATGGATGAACATCAGAGAATTGCTCGTGAAGATGAAAAAAGGAAAAAGCGGAACGCAAAGCTTAGGCTGCACTGGAAAGCCGAAAGCACTTGTTTCTAGTGTTGACCTTGAATCGAATCATGAATGAAGTTGTTGATATACCAAGTCAGTATTGGTTGGAACTAGTTGTGGCATTCGATCTTCAGAATACACAAGATTCGCAATTGGACCTTCCAATAACTCCGAAAGCCTTCAGGTTTCGCAGCTTTGTGAAAGTCACGAATTCCCTTTTGATAGACAGCGGTGCCGATCACTTACTCTTCTCCTTCTACCTCAAGCATATAAAGTCACAATACGAGATGTGGAGTGCGAGCAGGATTACGGTTGTGAAGGTCATTGGTCCAATCAAAACTGACAGCTTCCCATATGCAAAGTTTAAGGTTGTGCGAGGTTCGTCCAGTCAGGTCTGTGAATTCACCCTCGCTAATATGCAATGCCTTAACCCATATGATTGGATCTTGTTTTACAACTTTTTATTGAGGGATGGATAGAAGTATGATCCCGTCATTGCTCACCTCAAACAAATGATAATTTCATAAATTTATGAGGTTGGGCAGATTGATGCTGATATTGCTGCAGTGTTGCGAAAGAAGCTAAGTGTGCTTCCCAAAGATAACCCTGATGGTTTTGACAAGATGAAACTTGGGAAGATACAAAAGAACAGATGGTGTGTGGCTTTTCAATTGAAGGAGCGAAATGACGTAGACTTTCAAAAAGTTTGTTTCTTTCTCGAAGACAAACATTTATACACCACTTCATCTCTAGAACATATTTTGGACTCCATTAACAAGCACATGGGTAACAACAAAGGTGACAAGAAGTGCTTCTCGGATATGATTCAATGGTATATCCAAGTTTGTAAGTTTCTGTTAGGGATGAGCAAAAGGACCGAACCGGCCCGAACCGGCCCGAACCGAACCGGAACCGGGAACCAGCTTCGGCTAAAATCAAGAACCGAACCGGCCCAGCGGTTCTATCGGTTCCCGGTTCCTACCGGTTCTTGCCGTGTCTTCAAATGTTGGAACCGAAAATAGCATCATACGGTTCCGGTTTTTGCCGGTTTTACCGATTCCGGTTATATCGGTTTCGGTTCCTACCGGTTCCCGGTTCCAAAAATCCAAAAAAAATAACGTCCCGGTCCCGGCCCGACCGATTCCATCGGGTTTCGGTTCCGGTGCCAGTTCCGGTTCCGGTACCGGTTCCGGCCGGTTCCCCGGTCCATTTGCTCATCCCTAGGTTCTGTCGAGAGTCAATCCGAAATTTTTTGAAGTACAGAAGTGAACGCAACTGTGAAGTAGTCCAACCTGAATCGATGCAAAGGGGGAGATTGTTGAGTATTTTAATGTTGTGTCTATTGGGCCTTTTGCTTAGTATTTTGTGTATTCGGATTGGGCATGTCCACCCATGTTGAATTATTAGGGTTTTACTATTTAAGGTGCATGCATGCATCGTGTACAAGTTAATCGTGTCATTGTAAACCCTACACAACCTCCAGTTCTTCATCGAGCTGTTCTGAGACTGTGACTTTTAATCATTCGACATATTATTTATTCATACTTTGTTCTTTATTGTTTTTACTTCTTTGAATCTAATCGATCTTAAGAGTTTTTAACTCATGAAACTAAAGTTCAACCACTCCTTTTCCAGCTATTTGGGAAGGTTATGTCATAAGAAAGAGGTCAACTCATACCAATGTCAAGGGAATGGGGAGAAGGAAAGTTGGTGCTCCCAGTTCCAACCCTAAAAATGATGTTTCTGACATAGCACTAGTAAATTACTCTAAAGAACTCATTTGCTACTAATACCAAGAAAAGGGCCATTAGAAACGTAGTTTCCCTATGTATCTAGAGGATCTTAAGAAGAACAAGGCCAAGGTGCTGGCAGTTCAGATATGTTTACAATTGAATTACATTTGGCCTTTACTGCTAATAATTGGATACTTGACACGGGATGTGGAACCCATATTTGAATAGATGTGCAGAGACTAAAATGAAGTAGGAAGCTAAGGCATGTAGAGTTTAATATGAGCATAAGGAACAATAGCAGAGGAGTTGTTAGTCAATCTCTAACTCGCGCCGCCTGGCAGCCTCCTGCAACTCCAACAAGGTCTTGCACCTCTGCGTGGACACAAACTGTCTGATATCTCTCTTTAGCATACTCAGATATCGGGACATCTGAGCTTGCTCCGAAGCGAACTCAGGGCAAAACATTGCCCTCTCAGTAAACATCCTAGTGATTTCCATCACCGACTCCGAATCTTGCTTCAGCTCAAGGAACTCCTGAGCCAACCTCTCCCTCTCGACCTGCGGAACATAACGAGTGCTGAACATCTCTCTGAACTGATCCCATGAAACTGCAACCCTCTGCGCATCCGAAAATGACCCCGTGGTGAACCTCCACCAATCCTTTGCCCCGAGCCTTAATAGGTTCAGAGCACACCTCACCTTCTGATCAGCAGGGCATGAACACGTGAAGAAACACCCCTCCACGTCTCATAACCATCTCATAGCAACGATCGGATCTTGAACTCCATCAAAGGTGGGAGGCTTCGTATTATCAAAGTCCCGATATTCAAAACCTCTACTAGCTCCTCCCACTGCCGCTGCTACAGCCACTATAGCCGCCGCGGAAGCCGTCTCCGTGAGAGCCGCATAGCGCTCATCAAAATACTCCACCATTGCGGTCTTGATCGACCCAAACAGTTCCGATAGCTCGGCCCGGAACAATGCAGCAACCTCATCATGTAAGATCTCACGAATCCTTGCATCCAAATCGCCTGTGCTCATCTGACCAACAACCTCGGGAGGTATGGACCCGCCCAGAACTCCCTCTCCTGCTCCCGATCCTGACCCGGATCCACTCCCAGCATGCCTTGAAATCTCCATACGGAAAATAAACCACCAAAATCTCAGACACTTCCCACTATCCCGGGAACCAACTCTCAACCCAACCCTAGAGGTCATGGTTTCCCTGATACGTGTATGGGTCCTGTGCTTTCAGTAGTACGGGCCCATAATACCTTGCACACCTACCCATATTTGTATGAAGTACTACCACAACACCCTAGTGAAAACATACGTAACAACGCTCTATCCTCACTACTAGAGGAACACTAGAAATCTCTCACAAGGAAACCCTAGGCTAACATGCATCATAAATTAGGTAACACATTATGAAATTCTGAAGATCCCTAGCCTAACACTAGCATGCTGTTCTATCAAGCTCAATAAAATAAATATCCTGTATGGTATTTTGGGGTTACTTACTGGCTCCGGCTGATCGTACCTCCGTGCCCTCCTTTACTTATTTTGAAAACCATTTTAAATTCTCTTTGAAAACCCTCCTCAATTTGAGACTGGAGTCACACAAGTGTTCCTCCAATTCGCTCAAACCAAGGCTCTGATACCAACTTGTAACGACCAAAATTTCAACAAAATTTAAACTTTTCAAAAACATGCCAATTCATTAAGTATTTACAAAAAGGTTTTCAATACATTTATTATTAGAGCATTCCCAGGTCCATATCATAAAACATAAACGCGAGGAGCGGTACGATCACGCCTTTGCCTTGCCACGGTCTCCTGAAGAACCTTAAAAAACATTACCATACACATAACATGCTATATCATAACGAATCGCAGAACAACCATGCATATCGGGTCTACTGTGGGACTGGTCCGACGTGTCGGGCCTGCAGTCCACCTGGTCCACCCTCCAAGTCCAGTCATGTCCCTCGAGTCTGCAGTGTGGTTGGTCCGCCCGCACCGGGCCTTCAACCCACCTGGTCCACTCTCTAAGTCTACAATATGACTGGTCCGCCCGCATTGGGCCTTCAGTCGGCCTGGTCCACTCTCCGAGCCTCGGCACGTCTGGTCCGCCCTCGTGGGGCCTACAGCTTATCCGGACCGCTCGCTGGGCCTTCGGAACAACCGGTCTGCCCTGGGTATCTTGGCCTACAGCACAAAGCAGGACCCGCCTCAACCCAACTCCAGTCCAAACATCCATGTGCACATAACATACAATCAGATAACAGTTCATAGTCCACAAACCGATCAAACAGATCACATAACATATCATTACCCTAACCAGGATACCGACCTAACCGGTCACTAGCATAGCATCACTCCACATATCGGGAAATCAACCTTAACTAGGTCTCTAGCATATACCATCCTAGCTACCAGGATGTAGACATATCAAAGCAATAACATAACAACCATATCCGAATCTCAATCCATTAAAGGGCCGGCCTTGGTGCCTTAGAACCTCTCGATATAGTGAGGATAACTCACCTCACAACTGCTAACTGAACGGATAAGATCAGGCTGCTGCAACCTCCGACCCGAACTCCAACACTGTTAATACCTAAAAGTCTGAATCCATTAAATACCAATAATTACCAAATTACCCCTGGAAGTCAACTGGTCAACCCTTGGTCAAAGTCAAAGTCAAAGTCTACCCCTGACTAACTCTACTTGCCGAGTCAACCCGATGACTCGCCGAGTCCCCATACACATAACCTCCTTCAATTCGCGACTTAACTCGCCGAGTCATCCCTTAACTCACCGAGTCACAGCCTTCCCAAAAGAAACTTGGACCCTACGACCAGACTCGCCGAGTCCAAGAATAGACTTGCCGAGTCTACGACCATCGTCAACCTACTCGCCGAGTTGTTCTTCCAGCTCGCCGAGTTCCAGGCCGTCTTCATCCAACTCACCGAGTCCACCCATGTAAATCGCCGAGTACCACCGGGTCTGAATCCATACAAAGGCTTTCCAAGCCATGCAGATGATCCAAACCATAGATCTACCCCTCATAAGGCCATCCATCACGTAAAGTGGCAAACTTTACGTGAATCCAAAGAGATCTAGGCATTTTACCCTCTAGGGCTAGGGTTTGGGATATGATGGCTTCACCAATCACTCAAGAACAGGGACTTTAATGCACTTAAGGCCTTCTCCACTCCAGATCTGAGGTAGCAACCTCAGATCTATTCTTGAAACTCAAGATACCACAAGCTAAGCCTCCCATACATTCCAAGAATCATGAATCTAGAAGAATAACATCCCAAGAATGAGATTATACCTCAAAAGGAAGCCCCAACAGCAATGAAATCTGAATCCAAGTAATTCCCCTTGCTCCAAGCCTCCTAACTCCCCAAGATCTTCTTCAAATCTCTTTTCCAAGGTTCAAATGCACTCCAATCCTTCACACTCACGTTTTCTAGGGTTTCTGGTCTTAAGGGAAGGTAAGTAGACTAGGAAGAGGACATAATGTCCTTTATATAGGGCTCATCCACCGAAATTAGGGTTTTCTCCACTCAGCACCAACTCACCGAGTCCAGCCGTCGACTCGCCGAGTTGGCCACTTAACACGCGACCAAAATCGCAACCATACTCGCCGAGTCCACCCATGGACTCACCGAGTTGCCCTTCAAATTTACACTTTTAGCCCTTCAACTCTACTCTTGATATTCTGGGATGTTACAGCAACTTATAAAGCCTACTCGTCAAGTCGAAGGTTGGACTCGACGAGTTGAGTCTATATTGAGAAAACCCTAATTTTAGTGCTTGCACCCTATTTTAAGGCCCTTAAGCCCTTATTTTTGCCTTACCAGTCACGCTACTCCCCTGTGTAAAACCATAATTGTTTAGTGTGAGCTAAGAGAGAAAAGAGAGCTAATCTTGGGCATTTTGTGATCTTTTGGAAGAGAAGGAAGGAGAATCAAAGCAAGGAACAAGAAATGGACTAATGGATCTGGTGTTATTTCATCCATAGCTTCTTTTGAAGGTAAAAAGTCTCCACCTTTCTCATTATGTTGATTGGATATCATGATTATGGAGTTTTAGGGCCTTTTCCATCCTCCCTTGAGATTTTGAGTGTATTGTGCATATCAAATGAGTGAGACTTCAGACCTGGACCTTGTGAGGTCCCTAGAATCCAAAGGTCCCAACTTTATCCAGCTCATAGAAGAGCTTTTTTAAGACCTTTATGGAGCTTGTTTTGGCATCTTGAGCTTATATGCCATGCATGA